AATTTTTTAATTAATATTCAAGATTTAAGAAAAATAAATATATATATATATACATACATACATGTATATGTATATAGAAGATATAACTATTTCACATCAAGTCTAGAGATATAAAATAATACAACTACTTATATCAGAAATATAGGAGAAAAGAGGAATATCTGTTTACAGCGTTTATCACTTCTATTGTAGTTGGAGAAAAGTTAAGTTATTAAAAAGATTCTAAAAATCCACCTAGATCATTTGGATTATTGTGTTGCTGTGTAAATCAAATACTTCAAAATCATTTAAAATCTTTAAGGAAGAGTAATTTGCTTCTGAAGAGAAAGTGATGTATTTAATAAGGTTGATCAAAAAAAATAATTATTATATTATAGTATTATTTAAATAAGTTAGAAATACACAGATATGTATATGACTATGCAGCTGTGAAACACTTTATGTATCGTTCTCACAACTTTAATAAGAATCTTGATGGAGATATATAATTTTGGGGCTCTCATCTCTATGAGATTACGAGACGTTTTACAATTCAGGAAGAAACTACTTGTTGTTGTTAATCCCACTGATCCCATATTCAAATATTTCAAATGTTGTGGATCTGTTCCTAAGGTACCTAGTTCGACTAGCGCATATGTTTTGCAATTGTTTGCGATTATCCTATGACTAAAAACTCAGGAAAAGGAAGTGTTAAATTGTGTAAACATCTGCTCTTCAGAGAAGTATAACAGTAAACTAGAAAGTAATTAAGGGGCTTGACAAATCTGATATAGTATTTCTGAGTTACGTTGTCAGTTAAACTATTAAAGTATATAATTGTGAAGTGTTCTAATATGTATGGTAACTATTGGGCGTTACATATAATATAAACTGTAAAATAGTTTTATATTTCATGATTCAAATGTTAACAAAAGGTAATTATAATTCACAAAATAATGAAATATTAATTTATTCTTGCGTACCTTATTCGAACAGTTCATAAAAATTATATCGTTTAGTAGATCTATGTATGAAAACTTGTTTCTTTGTTGAGCTGTTTTACAAATCACCATATGACTATAATAGCAATATTGATTTTAATCTACATTTAAATTTTTCGAGATTTTTAAATTTTGTTTATTTTTTTTTGTATCTGAAATATTCCCAAAACAAATGTATCTTAACAAGTGCATTTGTGCACACGCCAAAATCTATTTACAGTATAAATTAATTTATTTTGCAATGCAAATTGTTTGACGCATTTTTAAGTTTTTGCGTGCATATTTTCAAGACCCAACGGAGAGCTATGAGTAAGTGAGGGTGATTATAGACGTACAAGTAGTTTAAAAAAATATATGTATGTACTATATGTTCCTATAAAAAAAAAATAATGACAGAAAGAAATTTATCGGTGAAAATTGCCATGAGAAGGCAGACAACATAAACCATGTAAGAAGGACGTCTGCAACTGTGACTGCAATAATTGTGCGAATTTTTTCCCAACTAATCAATATAAAATATCTCGGCGCCATTTCAAACCGACGATGTACGCTGCTGGCCCCTATCAGTATCTGGGCTGTCAGCAGCAGCTGTTTGATTGCTTATACGAGAAATCGGCGCCAGAATTCTTTCTTTCATTCTTTTTAAAAATGAATTATACGAAGTGAATCTTGGTTAGTTTATTTAAATTTATGTCTAAATTCTTATTTACATAAAAATTGCTTCTTATCTGACAAAAATATATTTATATATGTATATTTTTTTGATTTTTTATTTACATATTTAAATATTTAGGGATTAATTTTTGTTTGTAGATTTCTTATTTCAACATGAAGAAGAAGATATCATTTAACATTGTTTACAATTTAATTATTAAATAAGGTAAAGTAAAATACATATTTGCAACTATATTAAGAAAATATTTTCATAAGAAAAATTTAAATAAAAAAATATTAAAAACTATTTTTATAAAAATTTTTACCTTGTGGGTTCAGTCTCTCCAGTAATTGTTGAGGTTGGTAAGGTGGTGGCGCGGTTTCTGGAATTATAAATTTGAATTTAAATTATTTATTTAATTTTATATATTAAATAAAAGATAAGTAAGAAAAATAATTCTGGGTAATATCACATTATCTTATATGTTGTGATGTGATATATTTTGAAAGTAAAAATAATGTTAATATGTTGAGTAAGAAGGTCATAGGTCTTAATATAAGATCCTATCAAAAGTATAAATCCCAAAATAAAATCTGAAAATGAACTTAGTCATATTATAATATTGTACTAATGGTATATGTATGTATGTTTGTTTGAACATACATGCAAATAAAGTTGCCACTTAATGTTACATTTTTATTGTAAATTTGAAACAATAAATTTTAAATAATTAAGCTATTTAAAATTAGCATAATATACTATAGCAAATAAAAAACAACTACCAAATATCATAAATCGAGTTCACGAACAGAAATAAGTGTAGGTTTTTGACGTTATAAACGTATTTAAATTTAAATTGTTGGCCAATGAAATTTGTATCTTTTTAAATAAATATAGGAAGGAAATAGTTATAAAAATATATTTTTATTGTTATTTTTATGAATGAAAAATATTAATGAAATATTTGTTATGTGTCGTCTCAGTATAAAAATATAAATAAAACTTAATGATTATTACTTTTGTTAAGTTCATAATAAAAGAAACCAATTCATAATACGCAAACATACATCAATATCTTTTAAATACATTTGTATATAAATTTGTAGTAAGATTTCGGTGTTTCGGTTAATATTTAAGATTTTTAAAAAAATTTCATTCAATTTTTGAAAGCCGCCTTATTTGGCGAATTAAATCTTATATGGATTTTTAATTTGATTTTAGGCCTAATTTTTCACGCGTACGAACTATGTATCTTATAGCTAATAAAGTCTGATAGAGAATTTTGTTTTGTATATAATTATAATAAAATAATATAAAGCTAAAAAAAAAAAACTAAAACAGATTTTAAAAACAAGTAAATAAATAACAAAGTCTATATAAAAAAAAAATTATTTTATTTAAATAGCGAAAAACAAAAGCGCGTACTTGTCATGTGACAAGTATGAGTATCTCAAGATTAATAGCCACCGAAAGAGCAGCTGCCGCCTGTTTCTAGTAGCGTTTCAGCGTTTCTTACCCCGTCACCATTGGCTTTTCTGTATTCAGTTGTTTTTATTTTATTGTCTGATACAAATGGAATTTGAATTTGTCTTCATTGGAACATAAACTTTATTACACATCTCATTTGAATTAATGTCATTTTGATATTTTAATCCATTAGAAAGGTGTGCCACAATATTTAAGCTTTTAAGTTTTTTTTCTACCTTTTTTAATTACATATCCGATATACCAATCAGTGATTTCGCTCTATCGCCTCACCTCACTGTATATAGTCATAGAGTTACTGACTTACTGAGTTACATATAAATGTGGCATGCGAATCGATATAAAATTTAATTTGTAAATAATAAAAAAATTAATTTTCAATATATGTATTTCTTTGACTTTTAATACTCTTTTTTAATTTAAAGGCTGATTTCGTGGAATTCAGGAATTAAACCTGAAATATAAATATATATAAGGTATCCAATTTCAACTTTTTAAGAGTACTACTTACGCCTGGATACAAAATTGATTTAAATAAGTAGTGTTTTATATAATAATGGAAATTTTCTACGACCTTTGGATTTTTAAGCTTAAGACTTTTAGTAAGAAAATAACGCAAAATTTAAAAACTTATAGAGTAGAGATTTAAAGAGTTAACTACTAATGCAAGAATACGGGCATTAACAACTAACCCATAAAACTGCCACTACACATAAATAAAATAAATGGTCTGACCTCTCACTAGAGCGAAGCTTTGTGATATTAGTGGGTGTTTTTTTATATTAACAACATGGCATTTACCAAACAGAAGATATGCAGACTTCTTCGGATGAAAGCCAGAAATTATGTCTTTCAGAAAGGATTTTCTAATACTAAAATACTTAGTAGCTCGCGACAAAGTATTTTCGGACAAAGATCAAAATCGGATTGTCGAAAAAGATAGAGCAGTTTCATTCCATTCCAGCCAGAGCAGATATACCTTCAATTTAGGCAACCATCTTATTTTCATAACGCAGTATAGATCTATAATCAGGAAACATCAACATCTATTAATCACAATTACAATGCAGTTATATCTAAATTTTACATTAAACATACTTAAGGAAAAAGGTATATAGAGCAAATTAGTTTGAGTGGAGCATAAAATATACATATTTATAAATAAAAATATAGATTTCTTTAATACATCAAAATGAAATACCATCTATATCAAAAAATCAGAATATTTTCTATTTATAATTATAATATTAATATCAGCTTAAACGTACTAGCATATAAAAGATATATATTTAAGAAAAACTTAATTAAATGAAATACTAAAAAATCTGTTTTTAATATGTGAGAGAAGGACAAATAGAATCGAGAAAGAGAATCTTTTCTCT